TGTGGTGCTGGGGGATTGAACCGTGGTCCCTGTGCTTTGCCAAGCTTGTTCCAAGTAGGTGCTTTAGACCACTGAGCCATCTCTCCAGCCCTTCCATTCATTTCTGATAGACATCTTCTACGTTCTTTTTATGTTTCCTACCACTGCAGTGTGTCTTTCTCACAGACAGAGAATTCTGGGTGAGGTACATGTCACAGTAGTCACAGTACAACTGCCACCTCCCTCAGACCTCAGAGACCAACTTCTCACCCATTTTTGATTATATCTCTCTCTCACACACACACACACACACACACACACACACAGACGTGTTTTTTTTTCCTGAACCACTGAGGCCGGCTTAGTGGTAAGAGGACCATTTCTTCATTTAGATGTTACCTCTAGGCGCTGTCAGGCGCATTTCCTAAAAGCAAGGCCATCCACACACAAAACTGCATATAGCTTAGTGATCAAGTTCAGGAAATTTGCCAGGCATGATAGCACCTACCTGTAGTCTCAGCACTTGGAAGGCTGAGGCAGAAAGATTACAAGGATCAGACCAGCCTGGGCTGCACAGCGAGTTCAAGGCCAGCCATAGTAACACCCTGTCTCAACCAAAAATCAACCCCCAAAATATTAAATAAATTCAGTTTTGATGGTGGACTAAGGTGAAACTGAGTCTATATCCGGGTTTCACCAAGTACCCTAATGCAGCTTACAGTACAATAGGATTTTCCTTTGCAGCAGGTTTTCCTTGATCCTGTGTACACGGCGGATCACACACTATGTTTAGCTCTCCTTTCTTTAGTTTCCTTCAGGTTAGACTCTTCCTTCAGCCTCTCTTTGCCTTGACATGGATATTTTTGAAGAAGTCAGATCAGCCCCAGTTTTTGCGGTGCTAGGGATGGCACCAGTGCCTCCCCCACTTAAGCATGTGCTGCCCCCTATCCTCAGACCAGTGCCCTGAGACCCGTCCCTCAGTCTGGGTTTGGCGATGGTTCTTTCTTTAGATGCGAGTTGTGGGTTTAGGGAAGGGAACCACTGCATCTGTGAGTAAGAGTGGCGCGTAGGCCAGCTCAGTGGTGAGAGAAGGGTCGGAAGTGGGAGCGAGGAGAGCAGTGGGCCTGCGCTGGCAGACAGGAGGAGGGGCCAGAGTGCGCCTGGCCGGCAGCTCCTGGGCTTCCGGCTTGGGAGAGGGGTGGCAGGATGACTGGGGCAAGCAAGAGAGGCAGGTAGGGGCAAGAAGACGAAGGGCGTGAAAGCTGCCCATGTGTCTGCTGGGGGTTGTTCTCTGTTCTGTTCTGTCTGCTCCTGCCCCTCACTGTCCACTTGTACATTGTCACTTGCCTTCTGTCCCTCAGGAGCTGGCAGGTCCCTTGTCACCTACTAGGACAGTCTGGTCCTGCTTGGCCCTGACTTTGCCCCCTCTGCTGACCTCCTCAGGCCACTTCTGCCCCCTCTCCACCTGGAAGAGCTATGGGACCCTGCAGGAGCTGGTCTCTGCCGCAGCTCGGAGTGCCACACCGCTGCCTCTTAGCTTTATGTCCGCTCAGAGCATTGTCACAAAGGATGGGGTGGTGCCCAAAGAACGGACCCTCCTGCTTGAGGCTGTGGAGATGCACCTCGGGATCTGCTGTGCACGCTGTAACCTGGACTCTGAGACTAAGCAGGTCGTCCTGCACCTACCCCTGACCCAGGAGGGGCCCTTCTGGACATGGAAGCCGAGTGCCTCGCAAACTCTGCTCGAGATCCTGCAAGACCCAGCCTTGAAGGACCTTGAGCTCACCTGCCCCACCCTCCCGTGGCACTCTGTGGTCCTGAGACCCGAGTATGAGGTCCAAGCTATCATGCACAGTGAGTTCCTGGCAGTGGGGTGGCAGGGAGATGCCCTGGTGGGAGACATCCTGCTCTGTGGGTAGTAGGGGTTCCAGGTGGACTATAACAGAGACTTCACACCGAGCTACATCCCAGGCCCTAGATCCCAGGTCTGAGCAGGTTTGAGATGTGGTTTTTCACTGCCACATGAGGTGGAAGGCAGAGAATCCCCACTTGGCTCAGTGTGGAGCCTCCTGGCCACCCTGACAACCTCAGGTTGGTGCACATCTGTGAACACAATGAAGGGCAGCTGTGACAGGAGTAAGTGTGAAGGGGGACTGCTACAGTCTGTCATTCCTTTTTTTTTTTTCATTCATTCCTTTTTTAAAAAAAATGTATTTTCGTACAGGGTCTACAGGTTCTCATCACACCGATCAGACTCAGTGATCCTCCTGTTTTCAGCCTCCCAAGTACTGGGATTACAGTCTCGTTTGCCTGGCTCAGAGTGCCTCAGGGGCATACCAGGGATTGAACCCTGGTTGCTGCATCTACCTAAGCAGCACTTTAATCCACTGAGCTATCTGGCCAGCCCCATGTCATTCCTTTAGGAACCAAAGGAGTGGTGTTTCAGTCCTGTGGTCACCACTGCATTTATTACCTGGGACACCATGCAAAGAGAAACTTCCCCTCGTCTACTCTTGGTTACAGAGGGTGCAGGATAGTGTTTGTAAGAGTTCCCAGATGCTTGTTCTTTTTTAAAAAAGTATATAT